ATCGCAATCTCACTTGTATGTAGTTGGATAAAATATGGATACACAATGAACCGCAGTTTACAGCTGTTGTATGAATTCACTATCTGACTGGCATTTGCAATTATCTTTTAGGAAGGTAGTTATTTGTAGTTATTAGTAATCATCAGCAGAAAGGAGATATTCATTACACAGCTTAGCGTAGCCCAGATTCGCAGAACATTATGCGCATACCATCTTAGAGTGGACACACTGCGACACATTCTAAATTCGGCAGGGTGTCGAACGCAGTCGTAACATTGAAAAATGCAATCAGCTTCCGCGGCGTTCAGAATTTCCGATGAGACCGTCTGTGAAGACGGCTCACTTCCGCTGGTCGGTGCCAGGATTCAGACAGGACGAGAGATAAGAGAAAAAGAACGACCGCACTGGCAGCGTGAATTTTAAAATGTGGGGAAAAGATATGAGGTGCCACATTTTTATGTCAAAACTAAAAGGAAAGGTGAGCTCATGCAATTCACTTAAGTGCCTATCAAACAAAGATGCCTTTTACGTTTATCCCGTCGATGAATTGCGATCTATATCTAAGAAAACTTTCGCTACGGTCTGCCGTTTTCACCTCAAGCCCTCAAGCCACAATAACAACTGCAAACCAGTTCATTCCAGCCGAAAACTGGTTCACGGACGGGGACAATCCACGATAGTTCTCGTTGCAATTCTGGTGCCGTGGTCGGTGGCTGCTTTCCCATCTACTGCCCGCCCCCCTCCCCTTCCCGACCCCAAATACAATACGCCTGGCGAGGCGGGCAGCTGGGCGGCAAACAGAATAAAAGACGCTCTCTATGGGCGAAGGTTGCCAGCGGACGGAGGAAAGCGGACGGTGGTGGATAGTGGACAGTAGCCATTGGACGGTGGACAGAGGACCGTATTTGGAGGATGTTTGGGGGAAGGATGGAGGAAGGATGGAGAACCTAAAACGACATATGTCACAAATAATATTTTAAAAGTTGGATGACGGAAGCCAGAGGTTGATCGCTGCACGGCGGTAATCAACACTGAACGGTGAAATGTGAATATTGGACGTTAAACGACAAACGTTGGGCAAATGACGTTAGGATTCGACAGAAAGGCGTTGGTCGTCGGTCGGTGGTCACCGGGCGTTAGGAAGTCCAACCGTTAGACACTACGCTGGCGGCGCCGGTCGGCGGGCGGCGATATTACGTCGGCCGACGGCACCCGTTCTGTCCTACGTGTGCTACATATCAGCCGATCGACATGCGCTGCCGGTCGCCATACCCGCCAGCCGCCGCCAGTTGCTACTCGCCGATACGGGCCCAGTCGGCCGCGGCAGGCACTGTGCAGGGCGCAAATAGACCGGCAGCCGACCGGCGAGGGCAGTCAGGCGCCTGGTCAGCACACAAGGCCAAGGGCGCTGCTATGGGGACGGAGGACGTCTCCATGGCGGGCAGTGTGGCACCGGGAAAGCCGCCTTTGCAAAACTTCGCAATACAGCCAGTAGTGGGTCTCTGCTATTCGAGACACAACCATCGTCGTCACTAGTCTTTGGCGCTATTTATCTTGGAAATTGATGATGATTCTTATTTAAGATGCAAGTTAGTGAACTGATAAAAATATTTTTTTTAAATTTATCCGCATTGCATCGTTATTAGCGGGAAATAGCTCGTCAGGCGAAGTGCGGAGCCTACTATTTAGAAACCCGCTGCAACGAGTCACAGAGATTTTATAAACGAGCCGATCTGTTACCGCCACTTGACGCGCAAAAGAACAGTTTTCGAAAAGCTGTCCAGTGCCTGTCGCCATTTTGAATAAATAAGCGTCTCACTAATGCCTTAAGATATCCATTCTCGGTGAAATATTGCGACCGCCGGGCTCGGTTCCTCGAACGGTGTCATGCGGTAAGACTTCAGAGTTCAGCCGAAAACGTCAGCACCGAGCTCGCTGTTCAGCGAGCTTTGTGAGATTAACTCAAAAGACCAATTAGACCATGAACGCGGCAGTGCGAGCGGAAACGTAATACAATCAGCATTGATTTACCAACAAAGAACCTAAAAAGCATCACGGCATCGCAAACATCGATCCAGTACAATCGGGCGTAAGATAATACATGGAAAAACCTAGAAAAAAACTACTCCAATATGAGGGTGAGCAATACCCTGCAGGTTGAGGTAAAATTGCACTTTTGCGTATATGAAATACGAATGGTCTAACATCACATCGTTGACTTTCCTTTCTAACCCGAATTACTTTCTCTTATCCCAAACAATGATGTGTTGCCAACTGCGAGTAAATACCAAGCAGCTTAGCCGAGGCCTCTCGTTTGTAATCAAGAGAGGTCTCATTAACATCACAGAAATGCCCGACTGAGATGACAGGACAACGCACTTTCCTAGTTAGTTCGCGAGAGCATCATTGAATTAGCTCAACAGGATGTGCATCAAGGATGGAATGAGCAGCCTCGGAATGAAACAGGCTTTCCCAGCGCCTAACAACCAACAATGAATATGAACTACAGTCTACACAGTTCACAGCTGTAGCCTGATTTACATGGTGTCGCCTGCTCTGTTTAGGTCAGAGCAGCTCATGCCGTTCCTGCGGCCAATGACGGTCTCTTCTAGCGCGGTGCGAGCAAAACTCGAACCTGACCGCATATAGGAAGGAGCGCAGAGTAGACCCACTTCCCTCTACTCCGGTCTGAAAAAGCAATTCCGACGGCGACCACGGCTGGTTGAGAAAGGAGCAGCCGATCCCTCTCTAGCTTACAATGACCATACCCATTACCCAAGGCCAGCAACTCCCACTTCCCCTCCCCCCCCCCCGCCTAGCTCAGTCTAAGCGGGACTCATCCACCCTGCGGAGGCCAGCAACATCCCTCTTTAGCCTGAATCCGGGGGGCCCTCAAAACACAGCCAGAAGACCAAAGAGCAGCGCGGAGCCGGGAGCCGTCTAATCATAGCCACAGGAGCACAGAACAGCACGGAGCCATCCTATGACAGCCAGTGGAGGAGAGGGAGCCCTCTGACCGCAGCCAGTACAGCACGACGGAGCGGCGAGAGCCGTACATCACCTCAGCCGTCCAATGGCCGCCAGCACACCATTCCGTCCCATTGGCCGTCGCGACGCTGTCTTACAGAGACCCCTGGCGCTGGGCTGGGATGGTGGGTGGTGGGTGGTGGGTGGAGAAATATGGATGGTGGGAGGTGAGAGACGAGAGGAGGGTGGTAGGCGATAGATGTTCGGTGAGGGGTGGAGGGCGGTATGCAGAGGGTGTTGGACAGATGGCGATTGGCGGTGGGTAGTGAGCGGGGGAAGTAGGAGGGGGTAGGAGGGTGGAGGGGGAGGATGGAGAGCGATGGGATGCAGCGCGGGATGCGCGTAACTGGCGTGCGTCAAATATCGGAGCCCATTAGTTTCAGCGGTCGGACTTATATTGAATTCCCAGGCACGTCCAATGCGTGAATGTGGTACGTGAGTTGAAACCCGAAGAACTCCTTTATCTATGCATAGAACTTTCTTGTTATCAGGAATGCACTCCCAGAATAACGCAAGCATCACGAGCAATGAACTTCGAAGGCCTTTTGGGAGGATGATACTTCTAAAAGTTTTGTACATCAAGGCATTACCTAAAATTCAAAATCACCTTTTGCCATTGCGGTCCATTCAAAACACTCACGCTCCCTGCATCCCTTCCCCACCCCGCCATCCACTCACGAGTCACGACCCCCACCTCCTGGCGCCCGGGTCGGCCAGCCCCCACCGACACCAAGTTCGCTCTCAGTCCGGCCGAATTTCACTCATCCACTCCGACTCTCGCTACTTTCATGACCTGCCGGAGCGGCGCGAATCGGGCCGAACCGGGGGGCAGACGGGGCGGCCAATCCGGCGCGGCAGAGACAGAAATAGCGCACCCGTGGGCGGACGGTCACTCAGCAGTCTCAACGACCCGGCACTGGATGGGCGACTCGACTGGCCGCTACTGGAAACAGCCCGGCAGTAGGCCGTATACCTCGACATTCGCGGAAAGCCAAGGAGATACTGTCGGCGTAGAAACTAGGAACTTTATACCTACTGCTGTTTCCTCCGACATGGCCAAATTGGTAATAAGCCTTCGGAAACCGTATAATCTTATATACCTATCCAGTACCCCTGACTCATCTCCATAATGATATGCATAGGCCGTTTATAATATAGGTAGCGTTGATTATCAAAATATAACGCGAATACACCCCAGTCATTTCGTCGGCAGGCCAGGGTCTATATTTAGCGGATGTTGACCAAATTATTCACGTCCAAAGTGGGTCAACGAGTCCTTAAGTGAAAATTAAGATGCAAGAGCCGAGCATCGCTGCATCAAAACAGCAGTATGCATCACCCTATTAAAACAAAAGCAACATGCTTTGGGGCTTGGGCACACATTAAATGCTGTTGTCCACGATAAACAGATGGGTATGAACGGTAAGGGAATATGATGGTGACCTGGTGGTATCCCTTACAAAAGGTTAGCGACTTTGGCATTCAGTATAACGTCATTCAATTCCCATTCCAATTTCAACGTTACTTGTGGATAACACAGGAGGCGCAATGAGCTTAGCCGCTGAATTCGATGTTTCTATTTGGTTCACTGATAAAAATGAAAAGGGGAAACAATGAACACTGGGAAAAGCGGCTGCAAGATGACATGCCACACCAAGAACTCACTCATATCCTCCTATATCGAGATGAAATTTCCAAATGATACATGTAAGGCCAATCGAAAGAAAATAATAAATAACTAAGGGGAAAATCACGGTAATTGGTGCGTATAGGCTAGCACGATAGTTATGCATTATGCAAACATGTTCAGGAAAGCAAATTCTGACATCGGTAAAATATGAAACATCAACAAAATTGTAAACAATTGGACTCAACCGACACCGAAAAATTAAATCACCAAACAAAAATGAATGCAATTACATAAAGAAAAAGTAAAAACCATCATTCCTCCCCGTAAACCCCGAGCGACTGACCTGTAGTGCAGGACCAGCAGGTCAGCAGGACGGAAAGCCAGCGGTCTGACTCGGCCAGCGCAGATCTCAGCTCTCAGGTCAGAGCAGGTCAGCCAGCCGGCGGTCGTACCCTGACGGCGGAGCGCTACTGACCGGCCAGGGACGGCCGCGCGTCTGTGGCGACTGGCCGGTCGGTGTGGCGCCCCGGGCGGTCGGTCGGGTCGGTCGGGCGCACGCAGCCGCCGCCGCCGCTACCGCCGTCGGTAGCGAACTCCGTGAGACGGAGACCGGCCCTGAGACACGGGGACACTGGGTTAGAACATGGAGACAAGCACGGGAACGGAGACAAAGGGCGAGGTAGAACACGAGACAAATGTTAGGACAACGTATGAGTCCAGATTCGAAGGGAGCGTTCTGTTCAAGTTCTAAAAGACTCGCTTCCATTCACTTAGTGGAAGGCAGCGTATCACCACTAAAAAAAAAAACGGACTTTGCCTAACTGCTTTGCTACTTTGGCTTTTAGGCGTTGAAATTAAATATAATGTAACTAAAATCGCCTTCAAATAAGAATCACACGATAAACTATCGTCATTATGTAGGTGCTTCGAGGTTCGAACACACTCATACTTCAATATTCAATTTCCTCATACTTCAACACTCATATTTCTACGGGATTTTCATTTTAAAATGATGCATGCCTTTAACTCCACCTCATACAGTTGCATCTGAATCAACACTTTCAGCGACGGTGTTACAATACGCGTTCAATCAAGCATTCGATTCCCACTGGTATCAAGTCGATGGAAACGAATCGTCCTACTTCGGAGCAGGTTTTCGCTCTAGTTAGCGCAAAAATCGGCCGTCAAATATGTGAACTCGGTCGACCAGTCGGTATAAGATGATTGAATGGATTAAGTGTGTTCGAGCGTCTGTTGGTTTAAGTCTAGACAGGCATTAAAAATAGTGTTCGTGGGTTGATAAGATGATGGCTTTGAGGTACAGCGTCTCTACCAGAACGTAAGAAGCACTCAAGGTCAGAAGTAAATAGATACACGGAACAGAGCAACCGTAGGCGCCAGTCTCGCAGAGAATTGCCCGGGACTTATTTCACGTATTGTTGAAACTTGAAATGGTCGTTTGTGCCTTAGCATACTGCAAACGCTATGGACACAAGTTTTTCACAATGAAAACAGCCATGAATTCCTGTAGGGTCAAAAATATCACCAATATAGAAAAAAGGTAAGTGCCAAGGAGCAGATATATTGAAAAATAATCACTACAACAAATCTGTCTCTCAATAACGGTTGCGTCTCCAAACAGTCCATTTCCTTACCGGAACCAAGGATCCAGCAGTAAACACTTAACAATGCTAGCCTGAATGCCCGAGACCAGCACCCTGATGCCGAATCAGGCTTAATTTACTTCCGCTGCAGCACTACAGAACCTGATTGCAATCACCCGCGAGAGTTAATTATCATCAGTGCAGCCGACTGGGTACAATGATTACCTCTGATTAGTGTATGGGTTGTTCACCGATGCAACGAGGACGGGGTAAAAATACTCGGTGCGGTGTGGGAATGGTCTCTACAAAGCCATTATTGCCGGTACAAAGCCCACGTCTTTCTTTTTTTTTTCACGTCTTTCAGTGAGTGTAGGATTGGACCAATCGGGGCGGCCGCTCCGATCCCCGTAATGCGGTACAGCCTACGCATCCAGGCGTCGACAGCAGCGCCATCTATTGAGCCGATCGTACACTAGCATACAGCGCAGCTCACAAACAGGATCAACATAAGCGGGTTAGCAAAGCTAAGCTGTGCTGCGTTACTTAGAATCAAGTTTGAGGAAAACAAACACTACAAGATTTAGTAATTGGAAATAATGATAGCTAAGCAGGGAACATAAAATGGATTTTATCTGCATTGCTCCCTGAATTATTCCCTAAGCTTTCAAGGTGCTCCGTGCCTTCGCGAACTACACTTCCAGCATTGTTGAAGAGTTTTCAACGTTCGATTATGTCTACTGCTCAGCCTAAAAAGGCAGTCAGTTAGCAATCCAAGTAGAGATACTCCTGGCCTGCTGTATAACATATCCGTTATCGCCACGCCTTCGCCACAAAGGGCCGAAAATCTGACTCCATCGCGCAGCGCAAACGACAGCCCTGGGCGCCATAAATATCCCATTCAGTACGGCACCCGCCGTTGGCCGAAATGGACTTTGATAAATATAGCGGTTATGGGCGCGCCATGCTCCGAAGGCTTCGGCACCGAAGCACTGCATGGAAACGAGCACCTAGTTGGTTCTCAAATCTCAATCACGGTCCGGCGTCAGTCAGAGTTCAACGGTGTCGAGCAGTTCCAAAGCCGGGGCAGGGATCGGTGGGCATCACACTGCGATTTTAGCTGTAGTGAACGGGAGTTGTCATCGCCCAATCGTAACCGAATCACCAACGATCGCGCTACTGCAGCCTGCCCCTAGTAAGAGCCGAGTATGTGTGTCCATACATTTGAATGCATGTTACCATTACAATTAGTTACTTACAACTGCAGTGAAACAAAATGTAAAAACTTTACGGCGCACTCCATGATTGACCTGTGAACAAATTTAGAATTACGCAACATCACCAATGCCACGCTAAGTCAGGGTAATCACCTCTAAAAGCTCGGCTGCGTTGTACAGCGCGTAAATCCTAGTGATCGCCATTAAAAGCTTGTTCCTGAGCTGCGGCAGCATGTCTCCGAGTCTTAGCAGTACGTCTCCAGCACTAACTGTAATCTCTCTGCATCTTCAAAAGGTCAGACTAAAGGTCATGTCAATTATCGACAGGTCGTCGAAAACCCACCGATTAAAAAAAAATATATATATATTTGTCCGGGAGTGAGGTAATTTATGTTTTTCTTTGTAACTTACACAGCGTCTTCAATATTCGTATCAAGTAGACCTAATTTCGAAACCAGTTCAACAGTACGTACCATTACATATTGTATACTTATGTCGAATCGAGTACGAAACGAGAAGATTTTCAAAAAGCCAAGGGAATAACTGAAGGTTTGTTGTCAATAGTTAAAACACTATTTGTTAGAATTGTGTTTTTCTATTGAAAAACAAATCTGAGTTCCCTGACAATTTGGCAAAATAAACGACTATGATACAGGCTTTAACCCCTCCCCTCCTACGCCACAACAGTCAATGTTTCATGGAAAATATCCGCAGTCAACATGTCTGAAGAAGTCTTGAACAAATCTCCCGAATCCTGTTCGGTTTCCACGAAACCAACTCCATCCTCCCCCCCCCCCGTCCAAGGACCCGGATGTCTGGAACAGCAGCGTGTCGAGTGTCGCCGACCCGTCGTTATACCAGAGTCCGGCTCTGTCGACTGATCGAAGCCGTCATCCACCGGACCGCTCCAGTTTTACGGCCAAAGACGTGCTGTCGTCCACTGCGCCGAAACGCTGACCATTTCAGAGACCGGCGACAAACAGCGAGCGGAGAGAGCGGACGGACGGACGGTCCTGGCGCGACTGCACGACACAAAACGGACAGCTCCGGGAGAGGAGGAGAGCGGGGGTGGCAGAGGAGGGTCACGGGCCTTCTCCGCCGCTCTGCTGAGCCTCCTCCGTCCCTCTGCTCGATCGACACCCGGCTGCCACACGCAGCGCCGCGGCACGCCCGGAATGGGGCAGCACAAGCCAGTGTATATAAATGACGGCGAGGAAAGGAGGCAGGCGCTGGGAAAGGAGGAATGGTGTGGGAAAGACGGCCGGCCGATACCAGACACGAGAAGCATTGGAAGAACGATAGATGAGAGTAAGGGAAGGGGAATAAGAGAGACGGGAATATTTAGTCTAAAAGTGTGAGAAATTAACCAAGCATCATATCCATTGATGGATGGGAAATGGTCAATGAGCTTCCGCCGTAGAATTTCCGACAAGTGAATAGAGTTGCTCCAGGCCTCAAACCCACAGCAATGCCCGGCAGGACTGAACGACCAATCATCGCACAAGTGGCTGCAGGACTTCCCCGGCCTCTGTGGTGCCTCTGCCCCTGCCTCCCCGCTCCCCGACCTTCCCAGCACTGACCCTGACGGCGGCAGCGCAGACCGGCGTTCCCCGGGGATCCAGTCACCGGCACCGTTACATTAGCGGCAAGAGCCTGTTACCGACTACCCCGGGACCTTATAGCGACACGGCACAATATTCAGCCCCCGATACCATCTAACGTGAATAGGTGACCAGCTTAGCGCAATAGTGTGAGCCAGCACCTGCCCGCCACTTAAGGTCACAGAAACATACATTATTAACCTCAAGCTAGACAGGAGGTCTATACCCAGATCCCCGTCCCAAAGCGGAGCATCAGCGAGCCAACAACAAAGACCACCAGTCCAGAGGGGATCCGGCTTGTAGGCACGGCACCTGAGATCCGCCCCCCTCCCCCCGCGCGTGCAGCACCCCCGTGCGACCGGCCCGGGGCGCCGCTAACTAGGTCACGGGTCAGGCGGCAGCCGGGGAGCTCTCGGCTGAGGTGCCGCCCGGACCGTGCAGTCGATATGTACGCGCCGTGACGTCACACGCCCAGCCACCAATCGATGGAGAGGAGACGCCCGGTCCCAGCCGAGCCCGAGCCAAAACGGAACGTCTTAGAATGAGATGCGTATGACTTCAACAACGGTTGCCTGAAACAGTGGGAGTTGCCTTCCTCGTCGAATTTTATAAGTCAAAAACAAAAATATGCGTCATGCGATGATTTAATAACAGACGTGAGACGAAATCCCATTCCATACCGCGCAATGGCCATGAAGGACCTTCCTCAACCAGCTTCAGGCCCGAGGGACTTTGACCTGGCATTGACATGAGACCAACACGCAAGTTGACCTTTCCTAAACAAAAAGCATACGATTCCACACGGCTCAGCATGACTTACTTCGTGGTTTCAACATCGTAGCTCAGTGGCCATTTCTGGCATGAGCATTTGCCAGAAACTAGATCCCGACCTTGGTGTCTTTGATCTGACCTCAAAGTTCACCAACCGACCAGAGACCTTAAAATTGAGCATCTGTCTCTAAAATTCATGACGACACAAGGCACATGCGCTCGTTTTTTTTTTTCCCTAAAGCTCTAGCCCAACCAGGCGCAACTTGTCAATTGGCGGTAGCTCAATTGGCCATTTTAGACTCCCGGTAGCGAAAGGCCGGGTTCGAGTCGCTCCGGCGCTTGATATTTGAGACTCCCGACGGAACGGAGTTCGGCGCTTGACATTTGAGATCTATGACAGACACGGTCTGCGGTTAGTACTTAGTGGGAGCAACCGCAGCCAGTTAGCAATGCTCAAACTAGCCATAGCTCACCTTCAACGAATCAGTTGAGTGAGGACAGAAAGAACCTTGAGTAATGGCCGGATACCCTGTGTTTGGCTTAAAATGTGCATTGTGCTTATGAAAGTCCAGTAGCTAAATTATCTTGTCACCTGGCATGGTGTGGCTGGACAGAGTGGATCAGGACTTTCACAGCAAGCTTTGCTTCAGCCTGGAGTGGATTTTGGCTCTGTCAATTTGTCCATTCAAATGTTCAAGCAAAATCAATAAAAACAATGAAGGTCAGCTAGCTCTGTAAGAATCTCAATCTTGGTTCTACCCAGAGTATATTCTACCAGTCCATGGGGGGGGGGGGGGGGCATTGTATGTATGAGTTCACACCTCACCAAGCCTCCTTAGCCTGTTCAGCACTAAGGATCTCTGCTGAATGCTGATCCAGGCATGCATTGTGAGGGAAGAGGCACAACTGAGACCATTCGTGAAGCGAATCGGTTTACAAAGAGTGTTTCAACTTGAACTGCAATAGGCAGGGTTTCGGAGTCGGAGTCGGAGTCGGAGTCGGAGTCGCCCGGAGTCGTGGCAAGCTGCCAGGAGTCGGAGTCGGAGTCGGTCAAGCTGCCTCGACTCCGACTCCGGAAAATAACTAGAATATGTGATATCACTTTTTAGTTTTTTTATCAGTTGCCGGCGGTAGAATTCGCTTCCGGCGATAAAAATTGCACTCATCTTGTTTTTGTTCTAAATGACAAACATTGGATCTAACAAGTTTCAAGTTACATCATAATTTAGTAGCCAAGTATTTTGCATGCCTGTTATAACTTCCACTATCTGAAGTATTTGACGAGTCAAAGACTAAATGACAACTGTATTTTTATTTTCTTCGTTTATGTTCCGAAAAGAAAAGTATCAACACATAGGAATGACCGACATGATGGCGATGCTCATGTTCGTGATACGGCCGCCTCTCGCGCTTCTCGGCTGGTTTCCACGCTGGCCGCTGACCTATTGTAGATTCAGCTGCGTCCACGTGGGAGAAATGGTGACTGCATGAAGGAAACCGGAGAGTAGGAGCGTTCTCCCCGTGCACGTAGACCTAGCGTGGCGTCATATCACGCAAAATTTTGGCGGGCGCCATTGCCATTCGCATCAGACCCGGAGTCGAAGTCGGAGTCGGCCAGGAGCCCGGAGTCGGAGTCGGAGTCGGAGTCGGAACAGCGCTACCACGACTCCGAAACCCTGGCAATAGGTACTCATTGATGCAAGCTAATAATAAATCATCAGACTTATCCCAAAAAAGAATTCATAGGACCACCACTAACAAAAACACTCTCTAGCCTCAATAGTCATTTCTGAGCACCCGGATGTGGAATTCAACAGAATGAGAAACCACAATTAATACGCTGCACCCTGTAAGTTGAAGGGTCAACACATATCATATGCTAGGCTAGGTACTTGTCTGCTTCACCAAACAAGTTATAACAGTAAAGCACTTGTGATAGGCCAGGATCAAATTCATGATTTGGAACAGCTTTCAAGCAAAAGGTTGGCACTATGCAATATGCATTACCTATACTTCGAGCAACATCTTGATAGCCATAATTTCATTGAAATAAACTCAATTGAAAGCAAATTTCACATACAAATTTTCCAATCATTTCGAAAAAATGCTGCCTCTATTGAAAGCAACAGTGCTTGAAATAAATGCAAATACAATTTACAAGTTGAAATAATTATTATTAACCTTCTTCACCCATTTGGCCTTACCTTTCTGAGGTTATTTTGATGATCTTTGTTGCATGGGGTGTGATAACTGTGAATTGTTGTTGCCTTTGATCTTCCAGGTTGGTCGGTGGTTAGAATGCTAGCGTAGGCGTTAAATTAAAATAATAAATATCGACATTTGCTCGTATCTTTTTTTCAGCTACTTCACCAAGCCAGTAACTGTATCATATGCGCCAAAACAACAAAGCACACCAAGGATGGCAATATTCATGTCTAAAAGCCATCAACGACATACATACATTTTATGACGTAATATTTAATCTGGATCTATTTGTGTATTTTGCAGTTTTGCGGCACAGATGAAGACAGTCATCATTCGAAAATGGCCAGATGGGCACTACACTGATCTGATCGTTCTCTTCAGAACACAACCGGGATTAGAAGTAGGACAGACAGTGCCGCTTCAGAGTTCAGACATTCCCTAGATCGCATTGAACCAACAATGAACGCTCTACTCGGTTGCTGGTTGCTGCCAATGATGTTGATTGATGTTTTATGTCTTTCGAATGGCCACGTACTTCCCCATTCGTACGCGTTCACAGAGCGTCAAAGTTCAAACTACAATTGAGCAAACTTACTCCTAAAATATATTTACTGGACGAAAAACGGGCATACAATGCATAAGCCACATACTTAGCGATTGCTGCAGCCACCGCCGGGCCGCCAACTGGCCCATTATGCAACTCTTACAGCATTGATACAACCGATACAACCTCTTATACGGCCTTGGATACAACCGCATCGTCACCGTCTCAGCGCCATCACACGGCCATCCCACAACCCAACATTTTCGGTCCCCGGCGGCCACCCGACCGGACAATGGCACGTCTACGATGAGGCATCAGCAGGATAGCTGCACAATTATGTCAAAACGCACACCTCGCCGTGAAACTGCCCGCGAGATACATTTCTTCGGCGAGAGAGGCAGCCAAGATCACAGAGCGCGCAGCCACGGCACGGTCAGGTGAAGGTGCACCCTCAGCATCACACACGTGCAGTATATACAGCCAATCCCGTACAAAGTGACGGAATCGCTCACCGGCTAAGTACCACAAACATCCACCAATCTAAGCACACACGCAGAAAACACGCGATATACCGTCCGTCCCCTCAGTCTAGAGGCATGTGAGTTCAAAATCTGTCTAGCAGAGGGATGTAGAGACATCAGGGCAGCCGATTGAAAGATTGACAGATGTCAAGACAGCCGATTCCGCGTATTATGCCGAATGCCGATCTGTCGGCATAATACTATACCCAGCCCCGAAAATTGCTAAATGAGATGGTGCGAACGGCTCGGGTTTGTCTCTCCGTTTTTAAGGTCGTTTCGGATGTGAGGCTGCTTAAAATGGGACACTGAAGAAAAGACAGTGTCCATAGAAACAGACATGATGCCTATAAAGGATACTACAAACAAACATGCTCCCTCAAAGATGTACGTACATGAATGGTAATATGGATAAATGGACATTAGGCATGCATAAATAATGACTGTAATTATGCTAAATGGCATTCTAGACCGGTTCCTTCATGGGCTGTCACCATTACTGACAAACTCAGCGTGTCTTCACGATATGAAGCCGTCATCTGGGATCAGCGTTCACCAGGGCTGACAGCTGCCTGCCTCGTTGTCAGACAGGGTGACAAAAGGTCAGAAGAGTCATTGTATCACCAATGAGACACTCTCCACACTGCCGTCCAGTGGAGACGGATGGTACAGTGGCCAGAGCCTGTCTCGAAAGAGTGGTGTAGATGACCTGTCGACAAGAGAAAAGAAGACATGTGTTAGCACCTCATCACACCGATGCTCAACAGTGAAAGCACAAATAGTTTTTAATTGCTAAATGGTTACGCTAATTTTCATCCGGCTCCGGAACAAACCTGGGTTGTAAGAGATGTTTACCATCAAACCCACGACCAGCCGAACCCACCGCCCACGTCTTCCCCCGCCCTCACCCCTGTTCAGCAGCAGCCCCCCTTTCCGTCAGCCACCGGGGTACTCTGGATGTTGACACGCGCGCCGCCGCCCGCCTGCTCGGTGGTCGCCTGCGGACCCACGCGGCTCTTGATCTCGGCGGCCATGGTCATGAAGGCTTGCTCCACGTTGGTGGACGACTTGGCCGAGGTCTCCAGGAAAGGAATACCCAGCTGGTCGGCGTACGCCTGTCGGGCGGCACGGTAACGGGAAAGGGGTTAGGCGTGGTGACAACTTAGTCGAGTCACCCACTCCACGGTAACGACAGTGCCTACGGTAAAATAAAGTTACGTAGGGTACCTTAAGGCAATTATTCACGACGACATATTCATGAGCTCAACCTCCGACTCTTACGATAAAGTCACCATCATCCACGACAATGGATCAGTTATTCACATTTAACGGTGACGGCACTTTCATTCGCGATAATCTCACTCCGTCACCTGTGGTGGCCGGGTAAAGGTACATTCACTCACGTTTTACGGTAAGGGTATATTCGTTCACATTCACCGCACAGTCGTCGATGGAAAATGTCGCCAATAATGCCACCACATCTTTATTCAGTCTTCACGTCAGCTATCTCCAAAATCCATCCCCACTATTTCTCTCACCTTGGCCGTGGCGAAGTCGACGACTTTGCTGCTGGCGAGGTCGCACTTGTTGCCGACCAGCAGCTTGTTGACGTTCTCGGCAGCGTAGCGATCGATCTCCTGCAGCCACTGCTTGACGTTGCCGAAGCTCTCCTGGTCGGTGCAGTCGTAGACGACGATGATGCCGTGCGCGCCGCGGTAGTAGGCCGCCGTGATGGTGCGGAACCGCTCCTGGCCAGCAGTGTCCCAGATCTGCAGCTTGATCGTCTTGCCGTCCAGCTCGATCGTGCGGATTTTCTACCAAGAATGAGAAGTGTGAATGGCGAAAACCAGTGAAAGTTGATTTCTTTATGAAAACCATGTAAACTTTATTCCATTTCCATATCATGTATCTTTCAGTATCTCTTTCGGCTGTAACCCAGACAACCGCACAGCACATTTCACTAGGAGGGATTTTGATACCCGTCACACACTACAGCTATCAGAAGTTGCCTCACATTCATACACAGCAGTTGGTACTTACAAAATCCACACCAATTGTGCTGATGTAGCTCTCCGTGTAGGTGTCATCCTGAAATGGAGGTGGTGGAAGATCAATGATAGTGAGCACTTCCTGAACAATTAATTGTTTATTGGAGCCCAACCTTCAAGCATGACAGCCTGAAAAGTGAAAATTGTGAAATGAAAACTGTACAGAATAGCATTCATAGTAAAACTTATGAGTGACTTACAGCAAATCTCAGAAGAAGACATGACTTTCCGACTCCCGAATCTCCAATCAGCAGCAGCTTGAACAGAAAGTCACTGAAATAAGGACAGAAGTTAGTTCCTGATTATTTCCCAATTTTCTTCCAGTATGCCAACAGGAAAATTCTAGAAGGGTCATAAATCAAGGGAAAATTGCCCCAAAACTTGTGTAGTCTTACGTTTGTTCATAATGCAAGAAACACGCTTCTAGAAGGTGCCCACACCAGTACCAATCAAATTACTCCATAAATTAGAGCGGCAACCAACCATAAACCTAATGAGCCAATAGCTTACTATTCAGGATTCATGGTGGCAAGGCGGTCCAAAATTTGCCGTCACAACTTGAACTCAGATTGAGATTACAATCAACTCGATGTTGATAGTAGTATTTTAGGCGTTCAGCCTGAGTTTTACAACAGCGACAGAACGACTGCGACAGAAATCCACTGTTTCCCAAGACTGACAATAAGCACCAAACACGTAAAGTACTTCCGCCTTGCGATATGATCTGAAGTACTGACAACTGACGCGAAATTTCCTAAATTATCACGCGATCTTGCGACGGAGAATCGTCGGTGATGATGTGACCACTGAAACGTCACAAGTGATGTTGTGGAAGCAATGATAAAGGCTTCCCTTCACTCTGAATAAAGCCATGTCAGGTATTTGCTGTGATTTTCTTTCAAGAGGCAAAATGATTATTTTTCAGGTTTGATTCAAAACTATGTATATTTTTTTGTAAAAAATAAAACACGAAATCAAGCATTAAATTACAGAAATGTTTATTTTGGTTTTTCGAAGCTACCATATTTTGCTATTTTGCCGAATTCTCCCTATCAAATTGAAGGAAATGAACGATGCAGAAATGGCGCAAATAGGACGATTGTTTGCTCACTGATATTTGTGCTTGTTGCAGTACATCATACATATCAATATTGATATTGTTGTAGAGCATTTTGAAGTAGTTTGCTGATATACAATGCTTTTAGAGGTCTTCGTAGTAAACCGTAAAGGTCATATTGTATTCAAAGAATCAGGTATAGTAAATTGATAGGGTTCATATGTTATAATTTGTGTTTCCCGATTGCGATCATGTTCAGAAAAATGCATTATTATTTTGGTCGATGTGCAAAGTAGGTATGCGATGCTAATCAGACTTATGTTTTCTCATAAATTTATGATGTTATCTTAGAAATGCTTGCCATGTGCACGGATAAATCTGTTAATCACTTCAATGCTAATGCCTGCTGCCTGCGTGGCGTGGACATAAGCCAATTAGGTATGGATTTTGGGCCTGTACACAATAAGGTTTGTATTAGCGAAGGAACATTATTTTCACTTAATGGGATAATCAAACAAACTCATTTTCAGGTATTTACAATAAAGATGTGAATCCTCAACACTACAGGCAATTTCACAACATTATCTGCAGTAGTACAGATGCACTTCCCTATGTAAGTACCTACCTTTTTCAGGTGATTTTTAGCTAGCCTGTGTAAATTAATTGTGAATTTGCTCTGATTTGTTGTGAATTTTGCTCCTCAGTATTGTAATTTGCACACTAAATAATAAATAGTAATGGAGTTCAATTTCCTAACCATCTTTTATGCAACACGTAATCAACTTATCTCACATGACACATCTCTCAAGTAGGTACCCAGTTTTACAATTCCCTCTTTTGCCACCTTCCCGTCGCAGTTCCAGCATGGATCCACCCACTTCTACCACGTGCAGAGTGACGGTCTGCGGTGGGGCGCGGCGGCCGGCCGGCGCCTGGCGCCGCTGCAGGTCCTCTGCTGGCTGACGGCGTTCAGAGACGTGGTGGCCGCCATTTGCGGGGCGGCCTCCGAGTCGGCGCTGCGGGCCAACCATCTGACGCTCCGACAGCTGGCCACGGAGATCGTGGTGAGATGGGGTGTTGTGACCTGTTGTTATGTGCGGTGGAGGCAGGGTGGAGGGTGTGATTGGCTGTTCTGATCGATCGCTATGGAACTGTGTGACGGGGAATACTCTACCTGTGGCTCTGTTCTTTAAACTCAGTTCACTAATGTGTAATTATTGAGAACAGGCAACGTAAAGTGAATAAATTGCTTATTGTGACATTTTAACGTCGCTACCTTTATTCCACTCGTGTTACTAGAGAGTAGCGAGGTCGTGATTGTGTTCGGTTTGTGTTCGGTCGAGTTCTGCTTGAGCGCACCATGGCTTACCTCTGTCCCTCCCCAACCCTCCCTTCCCTCCGCCTCCCTCCCCAGGAGGACGGCCAGATGATGGCACTGGACGCCGGCCGGCTGCGCGCGCTCCTCCTCAGCCGGCCCTGCGTGGCCGCCCCCGCCCAGCTCGGCTCACCCGCCGCCCCCGCCGCCGCCCCCGGCCCGGGCGGCGAGGCGCAGCAGCACGTCTACGTGGATGTCGTCGAGTCGATCGGTAGGTATTCGGGGTCGGAATTGAGACTGCCGAGTGCCGAGGTTCTGCTCGAGCGAGTTTACTAGCTGTGAGGGCCGAAAGTGGCTACGGAGTTTCTCCTTGAGTTAGGTAGCTAGCTGTAAGGGCTGAAAAGTTCATTGAAACTCTTTATAGGAAACGCTACATCGAGCTTAGGATAAAACAAATGTATTTTGTGCGTTAAATCTTTAGCGAAACGTGAAAGTAACGCCATGTGAGTTTGAGGACCCTCTACACCTTCCAGACTGTGTGCTGACGTCGGACGGCGAGGTGCAACAGTATGACGTCATCCCCTGTTGCACCTTTCTTTCAGACTGTGTGATGACGTCAGACGGCGAGGTGCAGCAGTGTGAGGTCACCGGTCGACTCGAGGTGCGCACGGAGGGCACTGCCTGCTCGCGGGTGGACGTCTCCCTGGCGGAGGATGTCCGACTTTTGGAGCCGGACGCAGCTGGTAAGGAATCTGCGATATCAGGCTCCACAAAACGAATGCATTGGCGCACAACGATACGGAACCATAGGGCAAAGTGTGCGTGTTTCATAAAATCGTTCTTTATTGGTTAATGCAGGGTTCGACAAGAAGCACAGTTTCACAAAAATTAAAGGAAGAAGCCTCAATCATTAATGGCTAGCACACGTACCCAGAGTCCCAGACTATTGTCAAATAGGCATCGTTACCCTCTAATATATCTCCTATAGCGATTTTTGAGCATGTCGATCATTTGACCACGCCCTTCTCCCCAGCAGTACTAACCTTCCCTCTCCCCTCCCCCGCAGCGGAGGCGCACCTGGGTCCTCAGGTGCACGTGTCCCGCCTGCACCCGTCCGGCTCTCGGCAGTCGCGCTGGCTGAGCGGCCCGCCCGGCCGGCTGACCCTGCTCGAGTACCGGAGCGCCGCCGGACTCTCCGGCCCTCCCCTCCCCATCTCCGTCCGAGCCACGGCGCTCGGCCTGCCCGGCTCGACAGATATCGAGGTGACGCTGCGCGTACGGCTGCTGGCGGCGGGGGAGCTCCGCGCTCCGTCTGTAGGCGTTCAGTTCCGCCCGCCGGCGGGCACCAGCGCCGTCAGCGCCACCTGTGCCGGTCCCGGCGGCGGAGCTGTGAAGTTTGACCGCCAGGCGGCGCTGGTGACGTGGACCGTACGGGAGATGGGAGGGCAGCAGGAGGCTAGCGCGGTGCTCAGGGTGAGACAGAGGGGAGGGGTCGGTCAGAGAGATAGGGATCAGTTGGAGCAGGGATAGGGAGGGGTCAGGGGAAGGGATAGGTCAGAAAAGAGTATTGGTCAGAGAGGTGAAAGGAACCAGGATCGATCGGCTAGAGCTTGGATTACTGGGCTGAGCTCTGATATGGGGTACCGGGTCGTGATTGGTTTAAAACGAACGGAATCTGTACTGTAGTACTCACTACTCACGGCTCCCTCATTCGTCTTTTCATACATGAAGAACTTTGAATCACTTTCCGTCAGTGTTTTGTACTCGTAAAGTTATTTTTTCATATTCATTAGCTGGCTGTTGCGTTCAGCAACATTGGCAACTATTCTTTCCCCTTTTCTTTTCATCGTCACCGCTATCGGATATGCTGACACCCTCATCCCGTTACTTCTAACTGACCCCCTTCCCCTCCTATCCCACTCAGCTGGCGGAGGCGGACGTGGCGGGCTCTCTGGACTCTGTCGGCCCGTTCCAGCTCAGCTGGGAGATCTCCGACCTGACCGTCACTGGTCTGCGGGTGTCCGGGGTGCAGCTGGCAGGGGTGCCCGACGGCTGCACCCGCCGCTGGGTGCGCCATGCCGCCGTCTCGGCTACCCACACGGTCCAGCCGGCGGCGCTGGCCGCGGCGGAAAGCGATAGGTGATTGTATGAGGGGGATGTGAATCCTGGGGGTATACTCATGCCTACGACCTGTACCTGTGTTATAAATGATGTCTAGATGAGAAGAAGGAAAGTGAACTAGAAATGAAATGTATTTACTTCTTGCTCGTTCCCAGTACCTTATAAATGCATGAGCGGGGGTCTGTGTGTTGTAACTTGTAAATTTGTGAAGAGAGAATCGTGAAATTGTTAAAATTTCTATCAGCATTTTACGAGTTTCCCATTAAATTGTGCAACTATGCTGAGAAGCGCAGTATTCCCAGTCAGCTTCAGTTTGTAATTGAATACAGTGCTTAATCGTCTTACTTGCGTTGTGAAATGTGAATCGATGTATCCGTGGACTGCTATGTCGCCTGCCGGGAGTCGGGAGGTTACTTTGCGCCTCTGCGCTTGCTCGTTATTTAGCCCTTTTCTATCACTGAGTGGCCAGTCGTGTTCTAAGACCCGACTCGGCAATGAAGCCGCTGTCCCCGGCCCGGGCCACTTGTCTGTAGTCTGGGGCACCTCCGCTGACCCAGACAGGTCGGACGAAATTGCCCACTAATTATGATGGATAGGGCGGTTATTTGGGCGTACGGGACCCGATTGCATGACTGTATGATGTTCATTAAGCCCAAGTTGCATGGATAAAGCGACGGTAGGCTGTTCGTGTGGTGCTAATAGCTATCACACCACGGAAACCTTAGTGTGTAAGCTAGGTTCACTTGAGAGGGAATTCGCCTTACATGACAAAGATGTTGTTTATATGTTTTTATTTTGCCGCATTAACCAGACCAGTCGCTGTTTGAGCTACGACGGTGAAAATATTTCCCTCGATGAGAGGTTTTGGCATAATTTCGCGGGCTGAACGTTCAACGTGACTCACTTATCGGTACCTTACCAGGGTGACGGGTGTCACTTTCTCGCTAATTCGAAAGATCTGCGTCTCATCCATCAGGTTAGCGTTGGTTCATTGTAGCTGGTGCATTTATCAAAGCACAAAGTGCATTTATCGCACGAGGGCGGGGCTGTAGGTCAAGAATGTCGCACGACGAGTATGCCTATTGTCTGCTTTGGACAGGTCGTGTGTCTTGCTCTACACCTACTGAATAATGCCTAAAAAATAGTGTGCTCTGGAAGTCTTCGTAATAAGTTCTGCCCCTGACACTGCCGACGTTCAATATACCGTGGCCTACCTATTGAGTGACATTTAGTGCTGCATTGACCTTCGCCGAGACTTAGTATCGACCCGACCTTTGTTGTGCCCCTAGTGCTGACTTAATCTGAGCCGTGGGTTGTCGGTACGGACTTGACCCTTGTTCCTCCGGCCTGACGTGACCTTTGGGCTTTGGTGGACCTCAGGTGGCAACTTGGCAACCTTTTCAAACTATTCTGAATTTCTGATCTCAACTTTTGTCTAAGTTATGACACCGACCATTCCTCGTCACCTCCGAGTACCATGCACCACTCTCGGGTTTGTTTGGCCAGTTAGCCGTACCTCAAGCCGTCTAACTGATAAAACAGCGGTCAGCCACGGCCCCGCGCTGCTTCCGGCCACCCGTCTGCCGGTACACGCATCTGATGCCAAAATTAGACCTCAGGAAGCCTCTCGAGTGAGGCGCAATGCGCCACTACGGCTCTGTTTGGATGAACAAAGAAAACTCCCTTTGTGGCTTTGTTCGGATGAACGCGTTGCTCACGTAGGGGGCCATAAGGGGTCTGTAGGTCGCAGGGAGGGGTAATGAGTGCCAAATGCGCCGCTATGGCTGGTTCGATCGCCCCGGCGCTCCTGGCACTGCAGCGGTAGCGGTGTGGATTTTGGACCGGCCGCCCCGGCACATGGTGCATTCGATGCCGCCCCGGCCGGCCCACGACGTCGATACGGCCAGAGTGGTATTTCGTTTACGGCTCCACGAATTGGACGGCCGAATGTCGGAGTCGGGATGTTGCACCATCCAGGTTAAAAATTTCGCATAGCATCGGGCCTGCATCAGCGAGTGAGCTATGGTAGTGTCTAGTGAACATTCATGTGTTTCACAAACCATGACAAGATCTCGGACCCGGTGACAAGCCAAAATGGTGTTCATCTGTCATTCTTTCGAAACTTTGATTTGGGGACCTTTAATCGCCTCAGAGACTTGGGGCCTGACCTACTCCCAGTCTTCGGAACAGATTCCTCCATCCCCCTCATTTCAGTCATTAGACAGCGTCCTGACGTCACCGTTCCAATCCAGACCGTCGTCTCCGGTCCCCACCGGCTCCCTACTGCCTTTGGCACGTGCCAATAGCTGCTCCACCGGGCACGGCGCCCGCTCGCCCCTTCGGCGGCGGCGCGGCGGTGGAGAGCGATCCTACGCCCCATCCCGGCCCGCGGGGAGCCCCTCTGTATGAGAAGACTCCCACGCAGCGGTGAGGCAGACAGCTGCTACGGACTGCGAGGAGAGGCACGCTGCTCAGAGTCGACACTGGTGGCGCCGAGATCCCCCGCTGAGCGTCGGAGGCGGCGAGCGTGAGGGGAAGGAAGGCACCTGTTGTCGGCAGTTCAGATGAGGGGTGTCTCGGTGGCTGGAGGGGTGAAGGGAGAGTTTTTGCGCCGTGTTTCTCCCGAGGGGATTCTGCAGTCTGTGGAACTGACAGTGATTTTCTCTCGGGTCCTGCTGCTCGCAGTTCGTTCAGAGGCTAATTTGATTCCTAAAGAACGGCTTCTATCACACTGACTTCTGACTAATAACGGCATCTAATCTCAATTGAGCACCCCCATTCACCGATGACCGTAAGGGAGCCCTATTGAACCTTCGAACCTTTCTCGGCTTGATGAATCAGACCAACTGAAACTGAAACGTCACAATCTGGCAGCGACCAAACGAGTCACCAATCGCCCCAGGAATGCCAACTCACCGAGACACAACGCATGATACACTTGGCGCTGAAGGTCATACGAGATTTTAGAACAGCGACTCATCCGAAAACGCTTTCTTGAAGCGCCAGTGGCCCGGGCACCGGAGTCCAAATGCCGCGTCATCTCTACACAATTAGGATAAGTTTCACACAAACGTCTCGCACATGTGTGCATTGAGCACGTAGAAGACGTTCCCGTTTCGACCTTCATTTTCGTTTGTGCCTCTTGTTTACGTAACACGGCATTGTCAAATGATCGCTGTCGAGTCTGGAAGAATGATGTGCGGATATCTTTATTGACCGTAAAGATTTGGCACAGCCCGTCTGTGCTATCTTATTTCGTCACCAGCAGAAGACAACAGACTGTCGCCAGCAACGATAAAAATTTACCGTGCTTATGTTTAAAACCTAGACGCTACAGCTGTGTAATAGTTTATACTCTGTAGGAAAGGAAGAATAGCTCTTTTGGCCTCTGGGTCTCTCTTCCGATTGTTCGAGCACAAGAACTCGCCGTGGAACTTTTCAAACCTGTCAATGCCAAATTTTAATGGAACCAAATCAAATACCCAATACCCATGAAGCTCAATGGCATCATCCCACCACATCACACTCCCGCAGTCTCTCCTCCCTCCTCGCTCGGCCGCCTGGCCCCGGTCGGTCTCCACCGGAACACCGGCACCTCAGCTCGGCCGGCGACCCCGTCGGCCCGCGCCCGTCGACGGTAGTTGGCGACGGGCCAGCGACGGCCGCCGGTCCGTCGGCATCGGGCCCGTCGGGCCTCCCTCAGCAGACACCTCAGCCAGGCCGAACGGCAAGAGAGTGGGCAGGGCCAGAAAATAGTCACCCCCACCAGCCGAGCGCAAAGGGTTGAACACGGGACATCAAGAAGGCAAATGGGTAGTAAACCGGCGCCGCTCGTTTTCGGACTTTTTTTTCTCTGTTGTGCGTCGTCTCTGTCACTGCAGTACGGAGCCGTGCAGCATGCGTCCCTCACGCCGCGTATGCGCCGCACCCATCTGGTGCCGGGCTCACTCCACCACCCCCACCGCGTGGAGGGCCGGGCCGCGCCTCCGAAAACACCGCAGCACATCCAGCTGCCTCCGCCGCGTCCGGCTATTTATAGGCGGCCGGGTGGCTGGAAGCGCCGGCCGGGAGACTCCTTTGGCGCGCGTCCCTGGCGAGCGGGCCGCTCTGCCGAGCCAGGAGCCGGCCGCGGCGTCTGCACGAGCGCCCAACGCAGCATCACGGTCACGAACGTCAACGAGCGTCACCATCAGATCGCCACTCTGAACCGCCAGTAATACGAAACGTAGAAAGAAAATTTATTCTTAACGTTTACAGCCTACAATCATAAATAGAAAAACCGCCGCGGCAGCACACGCTGAAAGATAGTTTCGATAACAGATTTCTCACGATACAAACTGTCTGCGGCTCTCTCCGGCCGACGGGCGGTCACAGTCTCGACGGAAGCCCGGCTCGCGCGGCCTCCCCCGTCCCCCAATCACCCCTGGCCGGTGCGCCGCGCGGCCGCCGCTCGCGTTCGGCGCATCACTGATCACTGCGCGCTCTCGGCGCTCGCCGGCGGCTTCTCTCACAGATGGGACTAGCAGTCTGTTGCGTTGGCGTATGGTGTGCGCGCGTGTTGGTGTGTCTGTGTGTGTGTGGTGGGGCCCGGCGCGAGCACCGGCGCCGGCCCCGGCAGCCCTGTCCCCCGGCACTCGCCTACATCCGGTCGTTCTGCCTGAGTTTGTTCTCGACCTCTTCTTTGGAGATCTCCGACGAGTCGGTCGCCTGTGTGCGGGAAAACAAGGGCATCAGTGGAGAAAAGACAAACACCAGCCGCTGTTCACGTCAGCTGACATATAACGAACGTAATATGACGGCAGTCACTTAGAAAAAGCGGGCGTCACACATCTCACTTCTACATGATTGGTGGCACGTCTTACATCAACTGTTTGAATTATACAGTCGGGCAAGCTGATCGGCATATGTACAATGTACATCATTAAGTTATTGAAAATTGTCAGCTAGCGTTGCATTCCTAACACTTGAACATTGCCTAGGAACTGGCAATACCTGACCATCCAAAATAGCTTCCATCATTCATCCGTTGACCTACTAGCCTGGACCACCAGCCCGCCTGCACGAGTCCCAAAACCACTGCCCTATCCGCCAGTCTGAGCACACGTGGCCCTGCCAGATCTTCCGTCATAACTCACACCCGACGAGCTCTACTCCCCCCCCCCCCCCCAGCATCCCCTGCGCCCCCTCGGCGTCACACACGCGGACACATACCTCAACATATTTGGCCACGCCCGTCAGCGCCTTCTTCAGCGCGTCGAAGCTGGAGGAGTACAGCATCTTTGCCTTGATCTTGGCCTCGTCGGGACACCACAGCATCAGGAAGAGCTTCTGCTTCTTCGTGGGCTGCGAATGGGAGACATTGTCAGTGCCATCACCAGCTAGTGACACGTATCAGGGACAAGACACAACCAGAATACACAGTAGTCGATGTCTAATGGCAGTTGGCACATCACAAAGTGCAAAATTTAGCCCGTACGCTTACGGACGTCGGACCCATCATCAGACATGTGCATGGATCCGAGTGATGGATCTATGATCTCAGTGGATCTCGAGGAAAATTGCAGGTTCGGATCTATGATCCCACCGAATCCGGCGTGAAAAAATTATCCTGGATCTATGATCTCACAGGATCTGACGATAAACCAAGAACGTGGATTTATGATCTGAGTGGATCCCACCATGCACAACATTTGAAACCAGGTTTCCAAGTGCTTCTATGTCAATAAGTGCCATAAAACTATGGATTATGACGTGTTATCACCTAAAATCACTAAATAAGACCGCTTGTGAGTTGCAACGAGTGATTTTTTGGGATTTCTGTGTTGACCAATAATAAATGAGGATCTATGATCTCACTGGATCTCAAGCAAAAATACTAGACTCGGATCTATGATCCCTACGGATCTCTCGATAAATTAAAGAGTGAGGATCTATGATCCCGACGGATCCGAGATCAGGATCCGTGGGATCAGATCTCAGATCCATTTTCTCGGATCCATGCACATGTCTGCCCATCATCGAGACGAACCTCATTCCATCAAATATCGGTAAAGTAATTTGGATAGTATGCCTTCGCGCCATTACAGGGCTATAGTGTCTGGAAATGGCAGCGGCCGTGGGCTCGGTGCCTCGGTACACCTTTGTTCAGGTGACGTGACACGACCAGTCATACATTAGTGTAGTCCGTGGCACATACCACAGCTGCGCCGAGACTCGGCGCCAGGCAGGTATAGCAGTGATTCATTGATCAAGTGACTGCAGACACCTAACGCAACGTCAGCAGCCGTCATAGACATAGCCAGCAGGACGGAAGGTCGTGAGGTCGGCTGAGCGGAAAACGAGAGAGCAACGCCGGCCGAACTCACAATAGCCGAGTGTGTGGGCGGCGTGTGGTAATGGCATTCCAATGTTCATGATAAGCAGACAAGTATATGCCATCAGGGCTCCGCTAAAAAGTGGATAGATAGGTAATCGTAGGTCGAACACAATGCGACACCGAAGATAAGTTATCCCATAAGGTATTCGTTCGATTACAATCCAGTGCTGAGTGCGGTGATGAAGGATCTCATCTCGTCATTCAACAACACAGCGGTGTTCATTCGAACAGCCGTGTTGGAGCATAAAATAGCGATATCCCAAATCCTATTCCACGAAAAGCAGGAACAGGTTCAATCACAAAATAACGACGGACTAGCATGTCGTCGTTCATACTGGTTTCGTCCATTGATACCACAAAGATAGTTCCAAATCAAATTACCACAGAACTACAATATAGCCAGCCAATACACGTTGGAATCGACCATAAACCAACATCAACTCCCATTACCTCCCCAGTACCCGAGCGCTATCACCCCCGCATCGAACCATCCGCGCTCAGCTCAGCCACGGCCCAGGCCCCAGGGAGAGCTCTCTCAGACTGTGACGACAGATGTGCTGGTGATCACACAGAGCCCACCTCTCCGTGCCATCGTCGGGCGACTCTGCGGCGACAGCTGAGGTGAAATCCCTCCGCCCGACGGCCACAGATGGGCGATATGCCCGAGCCGGTGGCCAGTTTCGGGCGGCCAGACACCTTGGTCTGTTGGTTGGAGATCGATGGAAGGTTGAACGATTCGCAGTTCAGACCACAACCGATCACACAGCTGGGCATGGATTCGAGTAGGACGGACATTGGACATCTAAATGGAGAGCAGCCTGGACCTAGCCGCTCTAGCAGCCAACAACATTGGTCCAGCATGGTGTAACCGATGTACCAGACCACACCTGAACCACAGAGCATAACGCCTGTATGAAGAACTGGGCTCCAGTCACTCGAATAGTTCTTCATTCGCTTCGGTGACGGTATAGTACGGAAGGCACCAATGCCCATTGCCCAGCATTCACCAACTCCCCTCCCTCCAGAGGGGCTACTGCAAATTGCAATGGCCAACGGATCGCTACCTGAACATTGAATATCCAGCAACCACCCGACCATGACTGGTGAAACACCGGCCGCCGTGAGCCCAGCCAGAGACGGCGCCCGTAACCGGCTCTGCCCACCGCCCAGCTCGGCTAGACGGAGTCAGCCAGGTGCGAGCCGGCAGACATCAACACCGCATCCTCCGTCTACAAACAGTCTCTGAACCGACCGCGAGAGGCGCGCTGTTGCATCAGTGTCCGTCATAGGCCGCTAAGTATACCTCGAGACACACTAACGCCATAACATCCCCGCAAGCTCGATGGGTATTTCGAGCGAAAGAACGATAGAAGTCGCTCGCATCATGCACCGTCTCTTGTTGCATGAGTGACAGCGTTTGTGAAATTAAATTACAGTTCAAGCGAAGCGAAAGTGTGATACTTGACAGATCACATCATGTGGCGTCACGGACGAACGAGCAGCGAGCACAACATGTTTATGTAGGACAAAGTATTATGCGAAGGTGATGAATAGTGTTTTCGAGACTAACAACTGCATTACTTAGCCGACTACTGACGTGATTTATAGTTACAACTGACTCAAGTCAAAGCATTCATATCTCGCCGGAATAGGTACCAGAAAGCTTATCCTTCACGAATCGATCCAATAATCGGGCGAAAACAGAATGGCTTTTTCTCTCGGGAAACTACCGCCTGATTCACAGAAGCCTCTCGAGAGGATCGTTCCCTTGTAACCAGTCAGTCAGTCAGCAGACACGACCGTCCATCTCCGTCCCGTGCCTCCCGTCACCCTGCGGCGTTGGCGGCGGCCGGCGCCGGCCGCGTGGCCATATACAGGCGCGCACGGTCCGACGCCCGGCCGGCCGCCGCAGCAGCGGGCTGATGCCACGCCCGCCCGGCCCGCGGCGGCCGCAGTGACTCAGGGATGACGTCATACTGACAGCCGGTGACGTCATATAGTGTCACCTGTGCCAGCGGGCCGGTGAGACACACCGGCTGTGACGTCATCACATGCCGAGACAGGCCGCCGAGTGCTCTGCGGTTCCCGGAAACGGAGCGTGGATAGCCAATGGTTCCGGGCTTCTTTCTACAGATGACAGAGTTGAATTCCACTGGTCCCTTGTCTAACCGTATCCGTAAAAACGGTAGGTTTAACTTTTAACATGTAGGTACACTATGGGTTTAACCACAGAGCACCGGTAATTTTCACTGCACCTGGTGAAATCAAACAGAGACGTGCCACTTTCATACATTTAAACCAGCGACCAGCAGCCAGCGCCTTTTCCGTCCTGACTTGACTAACAACGAACGCAACGTGATTTTTAGGCGATATTGAGTGTAATCCGGGCCACACAGGACAAAATGAGCCTGAAAACGCCAACGAGCATTGCATGGTTCACTCTAGACATGAATTTCTTTAGGTGAGTAATAATGACTAATACCGTGACCAGATTCAGGGGTCATTCGTGGGCATAACACAATCAAATAGGAGTATCTCACAGACTCTGGTAGAAGAGCTGACTTTATAAGTATCAGCAAGAAGCACTTACGGTTACAATATTTACCGGGGAGTTGCCATAACAAAGAAACTACCCGACCTTGTCGACATAAAATCATGCAACAACGGTACCCTGAAAGTCACACCAGCATGCAGCGATGAACCGTCAGCGAAAGCTCGCCAAATGCCTCAGCTACGAATGTTATCAATTCCACCTCCTTCCCACCGGCAACAGAAACCTGTCCACATTTCCGCCAAACTCCTAATGACAGCTGATTTTCTGATGTCATACTACGGAGGAAAACCTGCCCCGCCCACACACTCCTCTATCCACACAGGCGCGGATAACCGGAACTAAACTCCCCCGATAGTCCGCCATGGAGACGATTGAAGTATCCATCCAGCCAAAAATCTCGTACCGTCCTACTCCATACGGCTGGCCACGGATGCGAGCCGCACGGGCCGGGCCACCGGGCAGAGCAGGACAGAAATACCCTCCGGCCACAGTCCCGCCGCCGGAGGAAGCCCGCCCGAGCCTCAGAGACGGCGGAAAAATCGACACAAACTCGCCGAATGAGCGGAACTGATCGGTGAATAATTCGGGTGGAATGAGAGAATGAGCGTCTAGAGGGGGGGGGGGGGGGCAAGAGATTACTGTCAGACTCCACAATCATCAAGTGCTATAAAATATTATTTCTATTTGTAGCTTCTCTTCAGAATTGGAGCACAGCTTAGAATGACGCAAAGGGACAGCGGTGTTCATTTCGGCTGCGTGTCCACAGAGCGTGTCCCATCCGTGACTTGGACCAGTCTTTTCAGTCCTACGCCATCGATATTTGATGCATTCACTACAAAATACTTTATAATGATATTTCATAGTGGGCCTTGACCTCTGCAGCATACCCAGGCCCACAGGTTTCCATGACCAGGACCTTCACACATTATCAGCGCTTAAAAATCCCGTCCAGCAAATACCAAAATACCCTCTCACTGCCCCTTCTTCCTCTCCACCTATCCCCCTACAGCCCGTGACACCTTGAAGACCCACCTCTGCGGCGCCCTGTACGGCGTGCAGGTACTCGTAGTCGAACAGGCCGTAGCGGCACATGCCCTTGCCGGCCTTCTGGATGTCGGTGACAAAGTCCTCGTAGGTGGCGTCCCGGTCGCCAATCGCCTCCACGTCGATCATGACGTCGTCCTTGATGACAAACACCACATAGCGGTGCTTCTTGGCCTTCTTCACCTCGTCAAACACCGTCTTGCATGCGTCGGACACAGACACTCCAGACGCCTGGTGGGAGAATGACATGGTAAGGTTAGAGACTGAGACAATGATACCTAGAGGAGGGATAAAAAATGCATGGTCTGGTCCATTTCTGAGTTGGCATGCATGAAAAAAACTTGGAATAGCCAAAATCTACTCATACCAGTTGCTGCACCTGCTGTGACATTTTAAGCACTGATGCTGATTATTTAGGGACATATTTGTGCTATGAGTACATGCATTTTAGTTATTTGTGGGCTCCAACGATAACCTCATAAATTTAAGCGCCGAGGAGTCAGAGTGCCAAGGCCAACTGCCAGGCTCCTTAGTATGAGATGCCTTGCCTCTTAACTGGTTGAAAAAGTTTCCTTGCTCCCGTACCAAAGCCAGCTTCAACAATAAAAACCAGTTCTGTTTAAGTTAAGAGCACACGTTGTTATACAAATGCTTTAAGCAGTTAGCCAAGTTCCGCTTGAGCTTTGATGCGGCCCCATGACAGTGCAGTACAGCATTCACAATTTTCTGACTCACTTTCAATGGATTCATATAATTTTTTGAAACTGCAGCAAACATTTGTAAGACACTCAACCAATTTTTATTCAAACTTAAACTTTTCATATTCGTTCACAACCAAAGTTCAAAACAGAAACAAGGAGGCATCAGAGGTCTAGAAATATAAAATATGTAAACATGGATAAATATCAAACTTGCCCACGCTTTATTTGAGAATCCCTTACCATTTTTTAGATTATATATCCAGAGAGGGCGGTCGCCGGCCTCCCACCACACGCCCGGAAAGAGAGAGAGGAGAGATCTGAAAATAGACCGGGAGCTGTTGCCGAAGACGACGGCTGCACTCAAAATGTTACTCAGCTGATATCAGCTGGCTAGTCAGCTGAGCCAGCTCATTCTAGGGCAGACTCAAGGCTATGTAAACCAGAGCAGGGCAGACTGCATATTTACGTCTGGACAACGAGTTGCGGGGAAAAGTGCTGATTGTGTTGCAGTTTTAGGAGCCGGTGATTAGGCTGGATTTTCGGGTTACTTTTTCGTTCCGATTCATGTATTTCATAGTGTTTGGCTTTTGAATATTTTAGTTCTTTCAGATAAATATTAGGCTTGCCTTACAACTTTTGTAAAAACATTTCATTTTTTATAAGCCGACATTCAGAGTCCTAAAAATACATCAGCACTACAATCATTGTAAACAAACAAATGGAGCACCACTTGGCTCTGTTCCAAGGCCATTTTTAGTTTATCTGGTGGTTTTCTTGCTCTTGTACGTCGTTTTGTTGGATGTTTGACTTTGACTTATATCATATTTAAGAAGCATGTTGACTGAAAACAATCTGAAGTATCCAGGAGGCTGACAGAGGTCCTAACTACTGAGCAATATCAATATCAAGTTGAACGAGTCAAGAAATTTTGGTTGATAAACGCAAGTTGATCGGGCTCATATATCAGCAAGAAAAAGTAAAAGTAAAAGAGCTTATTGTCCAAAAACAAGCTATAATATTGCAGACCTTGGAGCAAGAGCACGCTGAGCAGGATCATGCCAGAAAATGTTGACTGATGAGCGCATATTGATGTATTGGTATGAATATTGAATTATAACTTACAACAGCAAAATAAATTAGTGCTAACTATCAAGTTAAAATCTAGAATGAATGGACTTGGGCAGTTTTACTATGCTTAGATGCTATGCAGAAATGTGCATCAGATTCAGGTACTCAGTGTCTGGCAAATGAAACATGCGATCATTCCATTGCTACTGGAGGAGAAAGCTTGGATCACTAAATCCACTTTATGTTGATTATGATGTTAATCATCATCACTGTATTTCTTGAAAAAAGGATTGTAGTAAAATTGTCAATGTGACAATCCATGCAACGATGTGATCATATTATGTGTTCATAGTCATTCGTGATAGTCATTATTGGTCTAATATACAATGGCAAAGCTCTCAGTCTCGGCGTTTCTTCCTGTGGATGGCCAGCAGTGACTCAGAGCTTAGAAGTATTAGTTTTCTTCTCTTCACAGGGCTGGGATAAAAAGTACTGAGGGTAATCTTCCACCAAGGAACTCTACTTTGACATGGTATGAGATGTAGGCACAAGTAGTTAGGTGCTCAGTTGCTATAGTCAGTACTCAGTAGTTGTGTATGTTTAGTCGGGTTAGCTTAGATCAGATTGTTAGTTTTTTAATTTGCCAAATGTCCATAAAAATGTGACCTGAGCAATGAGCATACCTGAACCTGACTAACCTGACAGCTGACCTAACCTCAATCATCACACATATTTGCAGCCTACCCAAGACCTGCATGGCAGTAGCACCCAGTTATAGGTAGGTACTCACCCTAACTCAATCTTACCTGCTAACCTTCAACTTGCCAAAAGTTAGCTCACATTGCCAAGCTGTGTCCAGGGAAACAGTCAACTGAGGAACTGGCTCATTGTCATTGGGTGGCTGGTGTGAGTCTGTGCATTTAAAGTGTTTCTTCTCTGAAGCTGCTCTGCACTGCTGTATGTCATGTTAGATGCTCAGAAAATGTGGGAAATGATTACTAAGCTACTTTAGTGCTTTGTTAATGCTCGAGACATGAACAAGTACAGATCCTGCAGGGTACAGCTATGAGTTAGGTGCTAGGTGAGTATGTTATGTGAATGTGCTGTTCCCTGTTTGACCGTAAGTATACAAACAAGCACAGGGTCACAGTTATATTCAATCTCCACATAAACATACAACAAAAACGGCCATATAGCCTAACTCCGAAGACACCACAGGTAACTTAAGCCTTTGAAGGCACAAAAATGTTTTGATTAACAGGACAGGTTTACAATATATCCTCCGTCCTTGGGGGATCTTGCTGCCAAGTTGAGGTATGATGACTGAACTTCAGGATTGATCAACCTTTTCTTAGCCACTGCTTATATACGAGAAAGACCAAATGCTTGTTTGTTTTGATTTACAGGACATGTATACAATATATCCTCTGTCCTTGGGGGATCTTGCTGCGAAGTTGGGGTACGATGACTGAACTTCAGATTTGATCAACCTTTTCTTAGCCACTGCTTATAAACGAGAAAGACCAAATGCTTGTTTGTAAACTGCGTTGAAAATTTAATGATCCACCTTCAATTCTGACATGAAGGCACAAATGAAATAGTTCCCTCTCCCTTTGGAATACACAAAGTAAAAAAATTAATAAATTTTAGTGGATGGACAAGAGCAATTAGCATAGCTTTCCCTCAACTTCTGGCACTGTTGATGAATTACACTGACGCTTATTCGCTTCATATTTTGTAACAAACGCGCTAAAACTGCAATATCACAGCACTATATGCTTCTTGACAAAATGCAATAATATTGAAAATTTAGCCTTGATGGCATTCATTCTTGGTGGAAACGTAATTACAAAATATTTTGTAGTAACTATTAAATTCCGGCCGAAAACAGTGCACGGTTTAAAAAAGAATCATTCCAATGACGGTCCATTCTTGCGGTCCTGAAATCGCCACTATTTCCGGCCTCTCCAACGCAACTCGTTGTCCAGACGTAAATATGCGGGCAGACTGCAGATAAAAGCCTGATAAATACCTATTATAGATTCATAAACCGATTTTTTAATTTTATCAATACTTAAATTTTTTGGAACATCACTGTTACCTCATAAATACCTCATGTTTGCTAAAAAAATAGAAGCAGTAAATATTGTTGAGCCGTAGAGACCTGTTGAGCCAGCTGACTTCTGTTTGTACCACGTGAAGCAGCCGATGAAGCGTGTATTGCACGACCATGGTGAGGATCTCTGAGCACATTCTAGGATTCCATGACGGTTTTGGACGAAAAACTGTCCGACGAAAAAATGTCAGACGAAATTTTGTCCGGACACGCATTCTAGTGGTTCATGTGCTATACGTCACAGCAAACGTTCACAGCTCTGCGATCTTTATTGGTGGTCTCGGAAGTACGGTACAAGAGGTAAACTACTTCTGCCGTTTCGCTCTATTATTTTTGACGGAGATCAAGATGATAAGGAAAGTAAAGTTTTTTTTAAGATCGAATCGTAAGCAAAACACAAACTTTAGATTTATATTACTTCTTTTTGCCTTTTTCTGTTCTGTCGCGAAGCGGTCTCGGTCCGGAAAAGATTTGTAGCCGTACTTTGCTTCACCTGGTGCCTGTTGTGTGAACTAACAAATGTATAGAGGACGCCACCTATGCTGTTTTGTATGCCTCAGGGTTACCAAAGCTTGGGATTTGTCCCAAGATCTTGGGATATTGAACCCGACCTTGGGACCTTGGGATTCAACAGCAAACCTTGGGATTTGTCCCGAGCTTACGACCCCCGCTAATTTTAGCACATTTTTTTAATCATTGGAACAAGGAAAAGTATGAATAAAGACCAAACACAAGAATCAGGAACACATCTAACACAACTTAATTGTTCTTTTTTATAAACCGTCCTTTTTGGCCGAACACAACCGAGCGTTCTTTCGTTTGGTTTCACTGTACCTTACCAAGCAACCAACGAAGCACCAATAAGTTATCCTTATTTGACGCGTCTTCACTTGGTTTCTCCCGTCTCAGCTCTCAAGTGAGGCAGTTAGCGAAATACCCAGTGGCTTCCGCGTCGATTAACACCCGGCCTGGCCGCCTGTTTGCGAATTGCCCGACGCCCGACGGATCGGAGGCGGATCCAGCTCAGAGTTTTTTTTTTTTTTTTGGAGGGGGGGCAAACCATAAAATTTATCGATTCTTTCCATGCATCGTCCATAGGCGTAATGTTAAAATTATGCCGTTGAGGGGGGGGGGGCAAATGCCCATTTTGCCCCCCCCCCCCCTGGATCCGCCACTGCGACGGATCATGCTTCAGCCTTCAGCTCGTATCGTATTGCGGCCGGCGGGCGGCGGCGACGCCCTCGACCCGTCTCGAGTTCGGCTCGTCTTTCTGGAGAGTGGAGGGTGCAGGCTCAGAATGTCAGAAGTCAGAACTCAGTGTCGTCTGTGAGGGAACGTACAAGGGAGCGACTGCGGCTGTGTCTCTGCGCCAGTTATCCCCGGTGTAAAGAGAGAGGTTCGTTAACAGCGACAGCGGATTTATTATAAAATGGCGGCAGCCGGCCACTTCGTCGGCCGGCTGCGGCGGCGACCGCGGGCAAGAGAGCGAAGTTACATTTCCTCACACACATTACGACCGCTAGGTGGCGGACGCACTGACAGCGCGGAACCGAAGTCTAAATTACGGCCAACAGATGGCGGGGCACAACTGGGGTTTCCATTGGAGCCAACAGATGGCACGGCGAACGTCATCCCACACCAGTCGGCAGTCACACTGGTGTGGGGGGCCTTGGTGTGGGGGCGGAGCTGAGACTACAGCCAGCCAGCTCAACAGACGGCATAACCGACACCACACTGGTAACACGGGTGTGGTGGTGCTGTACCTATCAGACTTGTGCCGGGATCAAAAATCAAGATCCAGGATCCTCAAGGTCCCACGGCAAATTCAATTTTTAGAATCCAAGGTTTCCAAGGTCCAACGGCAAATTCAATTCCTAGAATCCAAGGTTTCCAAGGTCCCACGGCAAATTCAATTTCTAGAATCAAGGTTTCCAAGGTCCCACGGCAAATTCAATTTCTAGAATCCAAGGTTTCCAAGGTCCCATAGCAAGCATACTTTGCAGGGTCCACAGTCCCCAAGGTCCCACGACAAGAATGCATTGCAGGATCCACAGTCCCCAAGGTCCCACGACAAGAATGCATTGCAGGATCCACAGTCCCTAGGGTCCCACGACAAGTGTGAATTTCAGGATCCACAGTCCCCAAGGTCCCATGACAAGTACACACTTCAGAGTTCAGGGTCCACAGTCCTCAAGGTCCCACGGCAAGAATACATCTCAGGATCCAAAGTATTCATGGTCCCACAACAAGAACTTAAACAAACTAACATTCTGATGAGCAGACTTACTTCTAAATATTCTGCCAACGGATGCCCAGAAACATTGAAAGGGGCAGAACCTATGCAAACCTGTGGACTGTGGTGGTTTTATCGTTAACCAACATAGGTGGGGGGAGCTTCAACACAAGTTAAAAATGAATCATAATATCAATATCTCCTTCTTTAACCTGACAAATTCATAAAAAATATAGGTAGGTAATAGGTACCTTGCAATTTGTATTGTCATGTCCCTTTCAATTCAATCTTACCTTATCAGTAGGCATGTAGGACAGCACCTTACAGCTATTGAAGACAGACATTCAGGTATTCTTTCAGGCAATATAAAAAAACAGAAATAAAACCTACAGGCTTCATAGAAATGGAAAAGTTGAATTGGATAGGTATATGCTTTCGATTTTCTGCACATTCAGTTACATAATACCACAGAAATACCTAGGATAAAAAGTAAAATATGTTCTAAGTCTTGTTTGCGCGAGCGCTCACAGAAAAACTGATCGACTAAGCCAATAGAATACGAGTATCAGCGAGCTTAAACCTTACTTACTGTTCATTCACATTAGATTGAAGGCTCTGAACAAAATTCCATCTGACAATTTTTTCGTCAGCCGGTTATTCGTCGGCAGATTTTCGTCTGACTTTTTCGTCTTGCATTTTTTCGTCTGTTCGAATTAATTTGGTGCATTTTTCGTCTGAGTATATTTCTGTCCGGCATTTTTTCGTCTGGACGAGGCGGAAAATGTCCTTATGAAAATAATGCGCGGACTTAAAAATGCACAGACGAACAAATGCATAGACGAAAGTCTGCGGACGAAAATCTGCAGACGAAAAATTGTCCGACGAAAACCTGCTAAACGAAAAAGTTGAACTGTCATGGAATCATTGCTTATACCTATGGACGCGTGTATATCACACCACGGTGAGATTTACATAATGCCTCGCACTGTAGTGTAAACCTCACCCGGGTGTGATTTACACAATACACTACTCCTGTGTATATCACACCACGCGGAGTGTGATTTACACAGTGGGCCGGCAATGCGTAAATCACACCGGGGTGTGATATACACAATGTGCTCCTAGTGTGTAAATCACACCCGGGTGTCAGACCACGCAGCACCTGGGTGTGATTTACACAGTAGGCCCGGCAAATGCGTAAATCACACCGTGGTGTGATATACACAATGTGCTCCTAGTGTGTAAATCACACCTGGGTGTCAAACCACGCAGCACCTGGGTGTGATTTACACAGTAGGCCTAGCCAATGTGTAAATCTCACCAGGGTGTGATATACACTGTGTGCTCGGTAGTGGGTAAATCACACCTGGGTGTCAAACCACGCAGCACCTGGGTGAGATTTACACAGTAGGCACGGTAACAAGACACTTCCTTAGACCTGACCTAACCTAACCTAACCTAACCTAACCTAACCAGGGATGCGGAGCCGGAGCCGGAGTCGGAGCCGGAGCCGCCGGAGCCGACATATTTTGCCCGGAGCCGGAGCCGGAGCCGGAGCCGTGAAACAATATAGCCCGGAGCCGGAGCCGGAGCCGGAGCCGCCAAAAAAGGGGGCGACTCCGGCTCCTTTTTATTTTCTGAAGAGGAAAAAAAATAATTGACCTAGTTCGGTTTGACAGTACAAGGCAGTAAAACATATGGTACTTTACTTACGTCATGGGCCATCAAGTGAATGAAAAAAAGCCGAATATCCCCAGTATCCCACAGTACCTACGCAATCAACTTCTTGTCTGCTCCTCCCCCCCCCCCCCCCCACGTCTACTGCATCCCCAGAACATGAGGACCGGTCATCAGGTGACGGCCATTGTTTTCAAGCCAGTGGCAGTGGACTGCGACTCCCAGCACCGTCTCTTCCCCTCCCCCCCCCCCCCACTCCCACCCCCCAATGCAGCCGAGACTGGTGTCAGTTTACGATGGTTCAGTGAACTCCAATTCGCGGCGACTGCGTTTCCAATGCCATCGCTTCCTAGTCCTTTGTTCTGCCAGTTCTCTCCGAGGTGCGTTTGCGCGGGGACGCGGTGAGCCGGTCATGGCAAAGAGTAACGCGTATAACCAATCCAATTTTTCTTCCACTCGTATTTAATTGATTGCATAGGGGATGTACTGAGTCGGAGCCGGAGCCGCCGGAGCCGGAGCCGCCGGAGCCGGACCATTTTACTCGGAGCCGGAGCCGGAGCCGGAGCCGCCACAACATTTCACCCGGAGCCGGAGCCGGAGCCGGAGTCGATTTTTTCCTCCGGAGCCGGAGCCGGAGCCGGAGCCGTCTGAAATTTCCACGGCTCCGCATCCCTGAACCTAACCTAACCTAACCTAACCTGACCTACTGATTTTTGCCTACCCGTGGATGAGGAAGAAGTTACTCGCATGAAGAGATTGCAAGCAATGGTAAGTCAAATATTTTTAGGTTAAGTGGTTGTGCATCAGGCTTCAGGCCTTCGGCCTGAAGCCAGATACACAACCACTTAACCTAAAAATATTTGACTTACCATTGCCTGTAATCTCTCCTAAGGCATTGCCTTCGGCACTGCACCGCTTCGCCACGAGCATTCAGACGTCGCTTTCCATATTGTATTGGTGCTTTTAAACTTGTCGGTCGGCAGCGAACCCACCGCTACCAAGGAAAAGCGAAAATGCGGGAAAAAGCGCCCGCGCCGACGGGACTCGAACCCGCAACATTCGTATCATGGTGCAAGCACCTTCACCACTAGGCCAGGCGGTCAGCTGATTCCGAGAGAGAGGACGCCCGGAATCCCGCCGGAATATTCGTAGTGCTTAGTCTAATCTGACCAATGGGCGAGCAGAGTCACTGCTCTGACCAATGGACGTTCAGCGTTGCTATGACGTCACATCGTGGTGAGATATACACACAGCTGCCCTCTCTGTGTATTCCTCACCCGGGTGTGATTTACACTACGTAGTAGATTTTGTGTATATCACACCGGGGTGGGTGTGATTTACACAAATGGCCGGTATTGTGTAAGGGCCTGTTCCAGCGCCTCCAGAAACCTCCAGAAAGCTCCAGAAAGCTCTAGAATCCTCCAGAGAGCGTTCCAGCGCCTCCAGAAAGCTCCAGAAAGCTCTCGCCAAAGCTCCAGAAACCTCCAGTAGCCTCCAGAGAGTTGAGAGGTCCAAATTTCTCTGGAGGCTCTGGTCTACAATTATGGTGCACATGTGACAATCACGAATGTAAACAAAGGACATTTGACTGATTATTTTACAACTTGAATGTAAAGAAAATTACATTGCTATAATTTTATTTATCTTTTTAACTAAAATTGAAAACAAATTTTGCGTTTCAAGAGAGAACAATCGTCATTCTTTTGGTATCTATGACGCCAATCTCCAGAAATCTCCAGATTGCGTTCCAGCGCCTCCAGTAAAACCTCTGGTAGAGCCTCCAGTCAAGAATTTCTTCTGGAGGCGCTGGAACAGGCCCTAAATCTCACCGTGGTGTGATATACACGGTCCCTATACCTATTGCTCATTGCTCAATGGTGATTTGATGAATTGCAAAACAAATAAGTTTGACACTTACTTGGTCAGTGGGTAGCTTCCAAGTAGCTTCAAGCCCGGCATATCACAACCCAGAAAATATGTGAGGTGAGATTAGAAAAGAACTTTCCAAACCACCACTGTCCACTGTTTGACAGTTTCATAATCCATGTTCATTGATAATGTAAAAAGCTACCAGGTCTCTTGTTCCAGTTCTGCCTCACAGCCATGGCAACGATTTTGCTCTATAGGTATATGTCTACACAGTCTGGTTTGTTCTCTTCGTGTAGCTATCTAGCCCCTTGCAGCTGGTTGCTCAACCATAGATATTTATTGAAGTGCTTACAGACAAAACCTAGTGCAGGGTCCTTAGTGGCCCATGTGCAACATAAACCTCATGGTCCAGCTTCCAGGATTCTTGAGGTCCCTCAACAAAATGATGGTGTAGGTCCAGACCGTTCTCCTAAGATCCCATGACAAATAATAAAACTGGTACTGAAGGTCTGCATTCTGCAGGGTCTTGCAGCATACCAAAATTTTGAGGTCCTAACCCCTGGGTTTCCATGGTTTTAGGGCATATGAAATGTTGAGGTCCTGGGTTTCTAAGGTCTCATGTCACATGAAATGTTGATGTCCTGGGATTCCAAGGTCTCACGGCATATGCAAATGTTGAGGTCCTGGGATTCCAAGGTCTCGCGACATATGCAAATGTTGAGGTCCTGGGATTCCAAGGTCTCGCGGCATATGGATGTTTTAAGGTCCTGGGATTCCAAGGTCTCACGGCATATGGATGTTTTAAGGTCCTGGGTTTCCAAGGTCTCGCGACAAAAATGACAATGCAAGGTCCAGGATCCATCAAGGTCCCAGACCTTGGACTCTGCGAACCCTGGATCTCGGATCTTTTTGGGACCTTGGCACAAGTCTGGTACCTATGCCTGCGTGTGTAACTGTGTGACGGCTACGCGCCCTAATCCACGAAGAAGAAGAAGTGTGTAACTGTGCCGAATGCAAGATATGTTAACGATATTGATTTATTTAGTCAACCAAAGATTTGAAAATACGTCAAATACACTTTGTTTGCTCTATATTTGGTTTCTACAGACCTTGGGATGCACAGTGGGCTTTGATCCTGTCGACCTTGGGATATGGAGCTCGATTTTGGGAAATTCGCGCGGCGATCTTGGGATTTAGAAAAATTCCCGTTGGTAACCCTGGTATGCCTACTTCTTCACTGCGATTATTTTGGCAGGGCTACGAACTACGATTTACGAAGTCGGAATCGGAGCGTGTCAAAGGTGGCAATTCTGGTGGGAGTCGGAGTCGTCATTGTCCGATTTTATGTCCGGAATTCTCACTTTGTTTGTCGGAACATTTTTTGTGCGTTTCTCAATTCTCACCGGTCGTGTTCGGCGAAACCCTTACCTACCTACTTCGGTACCTAATTGAGAAAAGGCATGGTACAGGCACAGCGCGCGTGCCTTGTCGGATCAGGACTGGAGCTCCTGTTGGGGATATAAGCAGGAACCGGGCAGTCTGAACCATGGGCCCACTTAAGTTCCATAACCTCCTGAGCCCTCCTCAGACCGATGCGAGATCCTCTCTGACCAGGTTTGATCCCAAAGGCCGAAGTTGGTCCTGCTGGCCTTGGCAGTCATGACCTAACAAGTGTCTGTGTATCAGGTGCCGGCGTTGGCCCTTCAGAGACCGATATGAGGCTCTCTGGACTTTTCAGGACCTCAGGAGCCAGTCAGACCAATTGAGAGTCAGATGTATAGCCCGCAGGGCTCAGAGACTTATTACAAACAGGTCCGTTAGAGTCCCGCGTTGGTCGACCCAGGTGAGCTGGCTGAGCTGACTGCTGATATGTCTGGCGGTCAGGAAACTTAGTGCCAAAATCGTTCATCTGCGACCATTGCTCGACGAGATT